AGATGGGGAGGTAGGAGTAGAATCTCTCATCCTGAAGGACCTAAACTGACCAGAATGAAAAGAACTATGTGGACAAATCAGTGCATAGTGTTCTATTTGGTGAATACATATCTTTGAATTGGGCATATAGGCGGCCCTCTTTTCAATAAATCTGACTTAGTGAAAGTTGGGCTACAATGAGGATCATTCAGTAGCCACAGCTTCAGGGAAGACTTTCTAGAGTGATCATAAAAGAACGCATAATCTTTCTTATATGTCATGCAGATGGAAAGGAAATGATATTATTAATTACAATTATACACTCAACCTTCCTTGTCCCCACCCAATAAACCCTGTCCAAGCCATGACCCTGTAGCATCCGGGGCTCTAGGAGAAGTTAGCCACATATCTTTCCACTGACAATCATGGGAAGACCATTTTGAGCAGCTTAAACAATAAAGATGTGATGATCGCACGCAAGGTAAATTGGCTCCTGGATGATTAGCCCCAACTCCTCTTCTCTGCGACTCCGTGAGGTCACCGGGGATAAAGGTCACTTTTTCTTTACTGAAGTTCCTCCATAGTTACTGTCCAGCCCTTACACTTATAAAGCACCTGAAAACCGACAAAGACCATCTTTCCATGGCCCAAGTCCTGCCCCACAGTGTTGTATGTTGAGGAGGTCCTAACAGTTCCTCTCGCAAATAGGATTCCACAGTGCTTCAGGCAGCTGGTGCTATGTTAATCTCAAACCATTTCTAGCTCTGTCATCTCCACCTTCACTTCCAGACTCTGTAGCCTCCAGAGTCTTTACCAACTCCTTGCTCCAGTTTCTCTATCAAACCCTCTTTCACGCAGCAGCAGCACCTTTTTCTGATTCCCACATGCCCTTCAAGGCTCATGTTTTATTTCCTTCAGGAAGCCTCTCTTCTCCCTAGTTACAACTGGAGGACAATACTCCTTTGCTTCCCTGGTAGCACAGCACAGACATATAGGTCTTAAAAGCATTTCCTTCTAAGTTGGAATTGTTGGCGAAATTGCCTCTTTCTCCACATAGATTACATAGTTCATTGAGGTTGTCTCTCTTTATTTGCAGAGTTTATTCTAAAACTGTACCTGTCATATAGTAGACCTATAATCAGTGTTTGATACAAAGAACATGAATACATGAATCCTTTAAGCGATTCAAAAGCTACGAAGTCTTCATTTTTTCAAATCTGGAAACTGTTAAGAACGCTTTTGTGAGATCTTACTTGTCACCACACACTGTAAAATTGGATGTATTAATGTCAAGTTCAGGGTAAATTACCAGGCCAGAGGCGGATCGCTGGGCAAGCAATGACCAAGGAACAGGACTGGGCGGCAACTCTACCTAAAATTTACCACTAGATGGCAGCAGCACCCCAGGAGCGAGCCACCTCCGTGTGCCACACCCCAGCCCTAGAAAAGCACCCCATCCTGACCCATACCTTTCTGGGACTCTGACCCCACCTAGGGAAGAGGGCAGTTCATTGGAAGATAACGATCACCCTGGGAATCACTCCCTCCCCACCGAAAACATGATGTCCTGCCCTGCAGCCCCTCAGCATCCTTTCTTATAAATTCTACAGCCCTTTCATGCTTCCTGTTCCCAGCCTTCCCCTCCCTCGCCCTTGTTATAACATTTTTTTACCCACCTAGTGTCCTTTTTCTCCAGGCAGGGCCTGCTGACTGCAGTCTCTCCAGTCCTGTTCAATTAGTAAGATGGGGAAGGGGATCAGAGGGTGGAGGGAGGGTAGGGAAGGTAATAGAGGGATTGAAAATAATCAAGATATGTCATATACATGCACCAATTCCCCATAAGGAATGTAATTATTACATACCAGAACATACACTAGTTCTCTTCAAAGTTTTTAGCATTAAGAAAAAAAGAGAAGAAACAGCAAAAAAGTTCTGGAGAAGAGAAGGGACTGTGTTCTGCTCTCCCTAGGATATAAGATGCCTTGACAGTTAGTTGGATGAGACAGAGGCAGTCCAGGAAGGAGAGGGACAGACAAGGAAAAAAATACCCAGGAGAGGGTGGGGTGGGAGCCGGGACTCTCTCTGAGTTCATTTTCTAAAAGTCTTGGTGTTTTCTTCTGCATTTTTAAAAGATCATCAGTGGCCATGGTGGTGGTTCTAAGATAACAATGAAAAGCTATCAGACTGTGTAGAAAGCAGGGATTCCACAGGGCACCTCTTTGTTGCTCTTGTTTTACCCCATAGCTAAGGCTCACAGGTGCCTCCACCTCCCCACACCCAAACACCCTGCCTTCTCCACCTCCCTCAGCACCCCAGGACTCCCACACACACCTGCTACTCCCCTCTAGCTAACTAACACCTAGCCCAAGTGCCAGCCCTGGTTACAGCCCTGCTCCCACTCTGGGCTGTCATCTGCAAGGGAAGGCAGGGCCCTGCAGAAACTCTGCTCAGAGCACCCTCCTCTGAAGAGGAAGCAGAGTTAATCTGAAAGGCTTGCAAAGGAGGACCGAGCTGAGCTCTGCAGTCTGGTCTTTGGCCTTGGTGACCTGTGCCCGTGTCACAGCAGAGAGGACATAAGATGCAGCCCTGCCTATGTCATGGGGCCACCGTGAGGACCGACTGACATACAGGCAAGAGCCCACTGTTCATGGAAAGGGCAAGCTGCCTACCAAATGATCGCATGGTCATCTATTCACCATCAAAAACTTGGACACTGGGCAGGGCATTTAGGTCAGTGGTGCCGCTACCTGCCTTGCAAGAACAAGGCCCTGAGTTCAATGCCAAGTACCCCCCCACACCAAAAAAAAAAGATCTGGACACCTCTTCTGTAACAACACAGTGTGCTAGAACCCAGCTAGAGTGAAAATGGAGACACAGACATCACAGAATGGAGGAAAACGTCAAGGGACACAGGAAAAGGCGACCAGCCAAATCGAGAATGCAGGGAAAACAGTTCAGACCAGAAGGTAAGGCATATGCTAAGTACCTCCCCTGAGCCATCCTCCCATGTATCTATATTGGAAAGCATCGTGTTATCCCAATAAATATGTTTGATTTTTGTCGACTTAAAACTAAATAAATATTTTTTTTAAAATCTAGATTGTGGGAAGTTTCCTAATTGAAGAGCGGATGTCACTCATACATGGGTGGTGAGAGCAGAGGAGGCAGTGGTTCCTACAGGCGAGAAGCAGCCTAGGAGACTTGGCCACCAGGAGCGATAGCCTTCCGAAAAGGTAAAGCCAGCCTTGGGTTAACTGAGTCCAGATGGGTAGAAAGAAGATTCCAGAAGGAACAAGCCCATTTGCATAAGCACAGGAGCCCCAAATGGCATCCACTGCCCAAAACCTTTTACTAAGACAACTCATTGATGCTGGTTTACTTGGAACCTTCCTAGGTGAGCCCTGAAACCCCCACACTTTGAGAAATCCATCAGTCCTCAGCAAACCCTGACAGTTGGCTGCCCTACCTTCCCATCACGCCATGGAGCTCAATGTGGCACTGGCCTGGTCAGCTCCACAGAGCCAAGCTGGGGCAGCTGAGAGCCACAGGACCAGGAATTAGGGCACTCCGAGCAAGAGCCCAAGAGGGACCCTCGGTGATATCCACATTTTCTGTTCCTTAGGCCTCACACATCAGCAGCCAGCTCCTCATCCAGAAAATCCAGGGCCTGGGGAACAAGCTGGATTCTCACGTCTCCTTCTCTGTTCTGCTAGTCTTGGACAGCACAGTTTCTATCCTGAGTCCTGCCTTTTACATATATATATATATATATATTTACATTATACTTATATATGTATTCTTATATTTATTAATACTTACTATCAGCACTTTCTCATTTAGTTCTTACAAAACTCCACAGTATAGAATTTATTAAAACCCAGATAAGTTACTTTGTACAAGGCAATATATAGACAGCAATAAACCTCACACACATCCCTTACAGGGTTGTGTGGGGAATAAATGAATTATTATACAGATAAAGTGCTTAGAACAGTGCCTGACACAGAGGAAAATGAGCAATAAGAGCTTGACTCTTGCTGACAGCCAGTACTGCACCACATTGCCACACCCTGCAGAGGGTGCGAGAAAGAGAAAAAGCCCACATTTTGAGGAAACAATGATCTGATTATATGCATTGCAGAATAATTAGCCCCTCTGAACTTTGGTTTAATAAGCTGATCAGAAGCATCTGCCACAGAGTGACTTACTTCTCCAGGATCCCTCAAAACAAGTTGTCTTAAGCTCATGAGTTTACGTGAGCCTCCTCATCCCCACTTTCCCGGGGAGAGACAACGTCTTTCACAGAGGACAGAGGAGCCTGTCCGGCTTGATCCTCTCAGAGGACCGGCCTGTCCTCACAGCTCCCTGCTTCCCTGGCCATTACTTGTACAGCAACTTCTGCGGCACCTTCCCAGTCTGAGAATCTCTCGTTCATTGAACAGGTAAGGAAATCAAGATGCCCAAGACAGAAGAATTGCGCCTGCTTGACTTTCAGCTGCCTGAGAACATTTCACAGACCACAGAAGAAACATCCAAAGTACTGTTATCGGTAGCAAGGACCCTCGTTACCTCTCTGCCCAGAAGAGCAATGGTGCCCCACACTCCCAAGTTACTGCAGAGAGAGAGAGGGCCAGGCTGTCCACTCAGAATCATGGACAATGTTGTTGACCTTGGCATATCCACCAGCACAGGGAGAAGGTTCCCTCAAGCACAGTCTGACAAGAGCCGACAGAGTGGAAACATCTTTCCCCACTTGCAGTGATTTTCATCCTTCCCATCACTGCCACAGCAGGCACTGTGTTTAAAGCAATAGGGACACACTGGGAAAGACAGAAAATAAGAGTGAACGTGCTGCTCGACTCCAGCTCAGACACATCTGGGCCTGGAGCGAGGGTAGTTTCATTGTGCCGTCCCAGCGTTTTGTACATAGGGTCCCCACCACAAGCACTGGGACCTTCCCAGAGCTGTTCCTGCCATCTTGGAACTGAGGCTGTTCCCTAAGTCGGTTCCTGCCCTCTCCAGCAACCCAGCAAATGGAGCTCCCAGATCCCACAATCGAACCCTGCACTGACCACAGATGACAGACCCTCTGTGTCAGGCACAAGGCGTAACCTACCATCACCACCACACATCTGTCTCCTCTAACCCCAAATGCCAGGTCTTCCGATTTCTGAGGCTGGGTCTAGCGGAGCCACCCTGCCCAGGCTCCACCGAGTGAAGGCATTCCTCCACCAAAACTCAAAGAGACTGCGGAGAAGCTTCATGAATTTTTCACAAGATTTGTCTAATAGTGGCTGAGCAGAGCTGAGAAAGCCACAGTCAAGTGCCTGTGCCAGCAGCTTGCGAAGAGTTAACCCATTAGGCCACATCCTGGTGAGCTCATCCTGGCTGGGGACTGCCTGCTCCCTTGCTGGGATTCGCAGCACATTGACTTCTGGATGTGGCCGGGGCACCTTTCTCCGGCTGGGATGAAGGACTTGAGCAGAAACTCATCACTGGCTTCTGCCCTGGATGAACACCGAGCAAGTCCCAGGAACTCTGTCATCCTCTGGGACACTAAGGACAGTAAGTAAAGAGGGGAATATTCCCCTCTGTTCTTTTTACCATCTCCCTGGCAGAAAGAGCTGGTTTTAACTTTGCTCTGGAGAGGGTTGAATCTTTGAACTTTAATTGGAAGGAAAATGTGAATGACTCAGGGTGGGGACACATTAAGGCCAGCTGCCGGTAAGCTGGCAGGGTGGAGGGAAGTACTCCCTTGCCTGCTAACTGCGCTGGAGGGGACAGTGGTGGACAAGGGGAGGTGCATGGAGTATCCCTTGCTGTGCACCGAGATGAAGGGAATATGCATACTGAGGGCTGATTCACCCAGTGTACAAAACCGGGCTCACCCTGTGAGCCAGTGGAGGAGAGGGTGGGCAGGGACCTTCTGCCCCAGCCTATGTGGAGGCAGGAGCAGAAAGACCAGAGAGCGACCTGCAAGGCTGCCTGCAGACCCTGGGTGACATGAGCTGATCTCAGCCTCCACCTGTCTTCCTGGGCATCCCATATCGGCTCTCAGCAGCTGCCGACCAATCCCTCCTTCCTGTAGGTGTGGCCAGTGACCCGAGCAGGTGCCAGGAAAACAAGGTGGAACACAGTAGCTAGGGCGGTCTTCATCTCAGGAAGAGAAAGCAGGGCAGGCCCACGAACTCAGGCCGACAGGGACTGTAGGGGCCCTATCTTTGAGTAAAGCTAGACACGGTCACACACAGAGCTGATTCTTCAGAACTGTTTATCCACCCTGTCACTCAGCAGGGCCCAGGTACTGGCTGTGTGTCCTGAAGAGGGAGGTGAGTGGCACCCTTGAGACTGACTATGACCTTAGGAACAGTTCCCTTCCTAGAAGTGCTGTGAGCTCGAGACGGATGGGAGGAGCTGGCCGTGTTGACAGAGCAGCAGATTCCACAACTCTAGCTTCTCCCAGCCTGGGCATGGGCCCTACTCACCGTATCGGAGGAGTGAACCATCACCAACTCGTGCCCCGGTAAGGGGAGGGGAGGGCAGCCCTGCGAAAGAAGGTAAAGGCCCTGGAGATGCTCGCTGATGAGCCGGAGCTGGGTGAGGCAAGGGAAGACCCCGTGGGAGAACAGAAGACCTCTGCTTCTCCCTCGCGCCAGCTTCTGCTTGAGCATAAGTGGTGCCATTCCTCCACCTCCGCCCTACAGCCTGCCCTCCCCTCTTCTCCCACCACGCTGCTGGCTGGCCCTGCTTCCCCACTGTGAGGTCATCTGTGCCCTGTGCTCTGCCTCAGGTCCTTGCCATGCCCAGAATAGCCCAACTCCTATCAGAACTCTCTTGGTGGAGTGGGGCCAGGGAAGAGCCAGATAACGCCAGGCCCAAGTGCATCCACCCAAGCCTCGCCCTTGATAATATTATGGTCATTAGATGTATCACAAGACGCTCAATTCAATTTGAATTTCTAATACACAAGGAACGCAGCTTTTGGTGTATGTCTGTCCCATGCAGGGTCGGAACATTCTTATGCTAAACAAAGCTTCTGTTGTTTATGTGAAGCTCAAATTCAACCAGACACCTTGCAATTATATTTGCAAAATCTGGCAGCTGTACCTCATACTGACCAGGTTTCAGGACATTCCAAGAAGGACAGCCTCACGGAAGGGCTGAGGAGTAAGTTCTAAAGCAGAGATGAGCAGAGAGACAGGAGGTGGACTGCTAGTGAAGGAAAATACAAAAAGGCAGGGGTTCATCCTTGAGAGAGCATGAGCCAGTATCTAAAAGACTGGGATTTGGGGTCAAGCAGCTCCGAGCTTCAGCTTCCTTATCTGTGAAATGGGAACAGTAGTGATAGGACCAGCCCTCACAGCACCAGGAGGACTTGGTGAACAGAAGCAGCTCATACCAGGGCACCTTGTGCTTGATTGGCAGGATAACAATGGTGGTGGCTTTGTGGCCACTCTGTCACAGGGCTCTCAGTCCCCAACTGGCCCCAACTCAAGGGTTCCTCAGTCCTCCCCACATCCACAGTCCCAGGCCTGCCACACCTTCTCTTAATGCAGCTGCCTTTAAGGTTCTGTTGACCGGCCACATCCAGTAAGAGGATCCTCTTTCCTCAATTTAAAAAGAAAATCCAAATAAGAGGAGCAGGATAGACTTGAATCTGGACTCTGGAGCCAGACAAGTTTAAAACTCAAATTCCAATCTTGTCTCTCTACTTACCTGTGCGTAACTTTAGTGTAAATCACCTAAACCTTTCTGACCCTCTATTTGGGTAACAGTTGGGGTAACAGTTGCACCTTCCTCAGGGAATGTCAGGAGGATTCGGGGAGGCCGTGCAGACAAAGCACTCAGCATGGTTCCTGGTGCACAGGCAAGGCTGGATAAGTAGTAGTTACTATTGTGTGACATTGCTACTGCTTTGGAGAGGCAGCAGTTCAGGGTCCTTGGAGAATCTAAGAACTTTGGTCCACAGAAGGTAATCAGTCTTCAAGAGCCGTGACTCCGGGGCCAAGAAAGAGCAGAGGTGAAAGGTGTTGTCGCACCTTGTTCAGCACAGCTGCTTTCTGTGCCCCAAACCCCACCACCACCATCAGAGCTGTTCTCACTACCTTGGTCTAAGGTCAGAGGGGATTTGTTTCAGCAGTCAGGTGGGGAGACACAGAATAGTGATCCTGCCATGCAACAGTAGCCAGGTTCTAACCCTCTACAGCCCCAACTGGACAATGGAAAGAAAGCAAATTCTCAGAGTAAACTGCTTTGCAAGCCACCTGCAAAGCCCTCTCTTTCCTCCAACACACTTCCTGTATTTAATCAGGCATATAACGCTGTTCACTGAGTCCCAGGCTCTACAAGAAGTTGAGGGAAACTCAGCCCCAAGCCTTGAAGGACTCTGAAAGAGAAAGGAGGGTTTCCAGAACTCTAAGAACAGACACATATCCAGTCATCTGCAAGGACTGCTGATTTCACTTATAACCACTGTCCCATTAAATCATCCCTTTCAGATTACCCCTTATTAGCATTATTGTTCATCTGCTGGCAAATCCTCAGCACTAAACTGTAAGATGGGGTATAAATATATAAATATGTGAGAAAGCATCTCAAATTTTCCTCTCCCCTCTCTTTAAGAAATGTCTTCATCCTCCATGCAGTCCCACATTCATGTTGAGGTAGGCTCAGAGCTAACTGGAAGGCACGTTTCCATCCACCCAGGAAATCCCCCAGGCTCCCAGTTTGTCCCCCACTCCCAACCTCCAGTTCCAAGCTTCATCACATCAGTTAGTTCTTGGCTGGCTCTAGAAAGTCACGTGAAAGGTAACAAGCAATATATGTGGTCTTTTATATCTGATTTTTTCCAGCGTGTCTGTGAGTTATCAAAAAATCAGTTCCTTTTGATTGTTTAGTCGAATTCTGTTGTGAAAATATACATCCATTTTTTCCCTTTCTTCTGAAGTGGATTTTTAGATTCTATTTTTTGGCTAGTATAAGTAAAGCTCCTGTGACTACTTTAAATTTTATTTTTATTAGTATCTGGTGTGATACGTAGTGAATGCAGTCATGGTAGGAAGTTGGTACACATGCACATCACACTTTGATCCTCTTTACTTCACCTTCCCCTTCTCCCCCCGTCGTTTCCTCTCACCCCAAGTCCCCCAGTTCCAATCTCCACAGACTCTATCTCCCTGTTTTCTATTATTTATCTTTTATTTTGCTCTTTAAATGACTTGTACTTTGGATTTCTAATATAAGAGAAACTATGCCATGTTTAGCCTTCCGGTTTTGATTTATTTCACTTAGCATTACAGGGACACCCATTTTCCTGTCCATGGCGATTTTATCCTTCTCTACAAGTAATACCCCGTTGTGTATACACATCCCACTCTGTTCATCTGTTGATGGGCATATAAACTGCTTCCAAGGCTTAATTATTATGAGTTGTGTTCTATGAATATTCTCAAACAAGTCTTTGTGTGGACATACGTTTTCACTTCTGTTGACCAAATAAATATCGAGACACAAGAATTGCTCCATCAACAAAAAGATGCATGTTTAACTGAACAAGAAGTGCCCAACCTTTCATTTCTCGCAGACCTCTTGTTGATCCACATCCTCACTCACATTCTCACTGTGAGATTTTAAATGTTCAGCCATTCTTGGGAGTGTGTGGTGATATCTCCTTGTGAATGTAATTTCCACTGTCCTGTTAAATATCAACATCAAGAGGTTTTTCATGGGTTTCTCATTCATTTATAACCTGGTAATGAGCTATGGAAATATTTTGCCTGTGCTTTAATTGGACTTCTTGCCTTCTTATTCATCAGCTGCAGTGAAAGATACATATTGTATAAATATTTTCTCCCAAGTCCAGAGCTTGCATTTTATTTCTTTCGGAGTATCTTTTAATGAGCAGACATTTCAAATTTTGATAAAATCTAATCTATTGATATTCTCTCCTAAGAAATCTGTGTCTGCCTCCAGGTTACAAAGATCTCCTATTGCTTCTCCAAAAGCTTTATAGTTTTAGCTTTCACATTCCAGTTAGGTCTAAATATTTTCTCCCAAGTCCAGAGCTTGCATTTTATTTCTTTCGGAGTATCTTTTAATGAGCAGACATTTCAAATTTTGATAAAATCTAATCTATTGATATTCTCTCCTAAGAAATCTGTGTCTGCCTCCAGGTTACAAAGATCTCCTATTGCTTCTCCAAAAGCTTTATAGTTTTAGCTTTCACATTCCAGTTAGGTCTATGATTCACCTCAAGTCCAGAGCTTGCATTTTATTTCTTTCGGAGTATCTTTTAATGAGCAGACATTTCAAATTTCGATAAAATCTAATCTATTGATATTCTCTCCTAAGAAATCTGTGTCTGCCTCCAAGTTACAAAGATCTTCTCCTATTGCTTCTCCAAAAGCTTTATAGTTTTAGCTTTCACATTCCAGTTAGGTCTGTGATTCACCTCTGATTAATTTTTGTTGATGGTGTGAGGTGGAGTCAAGTTTCATATTTTTTCCATATGAATATCGAGTTGTTCCAGCACCATTAGCAGAAATGCCAGTCTTTTCCCTATTGAA